TTCACTTCGTGTTAAGTCTATTGTGGCGATTTCCCTCCAAAACCTATGAACAGTATGTAAATCAAGCCTTGGCAGATAATGGAGTGAATTTTCAAAATGTATGGGGGCAGAGGGAAAGGCTTGCTTGTTTTTTGAGTCCAGGAATGGCTCCCCTCTGGGGATGTGGTGGGCATTCCCACATTGAACCGCAGCCACAATGCACATGGTGGCCCACAGCTCCCCTGCATGTTATCCAAAAACTCTGAATGTCACACACATCCCCGGGAAACATTCTACCACCACACGTTTCAATGTACTTCAGGATTGTGCATTAATGCTTTTTAGTACTGTTGACATGCACACACTACACCAAGCCCTGGATGGTAATTGTCTATAAGCGACATTTTATTGATGGGGGGCCAGAGGAAAACACCATGTGGAAATCTGAGGCATGGACACCAAGGAGTATGCCACCCATGACTGAATTTGGGCAACTTTTCTCAGAGTAATACAGAATACATAATCTGGATATTTTGCCATTCCAGGGTGGAAACTGGAGGTGCAGAGTTACAAGCACTGAATCCAGAATAAAGGCAAAACAGCATGGGTACGGAGAAATGGCAGGGTAAAAATGCATGCAGAAAGGGCCAGAATGTGAAAAAGCAAGGCAGTAGAGGGAGCTTCTCTAGCCCATGCATTCCAGTTTGGTTAAAATAGACAATCCTTATTAAGATGGGCATGAACCAGGAAACGCCAGTTGGGGTTCAGGGGGTATCCCAAACTGGTTCATGAACTGAACTGTTTCAGGAACTTTCAGATGCAGGGGTCCCCTGGGGTCCTAGAGGCTCTAGAGTTACAGACCCCCAAACAAGGTGCCCCCAGGAAAGTCCTTTTTGAAGAGAAGTCAGGTGAAGGTTCAGGAGTACATAGACCAGACCACCCTCCGTCCAATTGAAAATATGATCACTGGGCCAGGCCCACGCTGCCCAGGCCTGGGAGCCACCTGCACGCTTGTAGGTGCCTGCTTCTACCTGCCCCCCCTCCCTCCCTCCCTCTGTGGACTGTCAAAGTGATGACTGGGCAGGGCCAGCCCTCCTGTCCTGGGCCTGGCAGCTTCATGGATGGCATAACAGTGAGGGGGGAATTGGGCTAGACTGGAACGACACATTGGTTAGCTCCCAATGGGGCAAAACCACTCCCTGAGAATAGAATAAGTCTTACAAGGCAGGATGGGTGCAGGGAGGTGGGCTGACACACACACAAATCACCCCCAAAGCAGGTCAGTGGTGGGGTTTTGGAAAGGGAGAGCTGGCCGGAAAGGTCATCCCACCAGTCTCCGGACACACAGATGCCACCCCAAGGGCAATCTGGCCAGTGGTGGCGCTTTGGAAAGTGGATGTTGGCATAAAAAGTCACCCCAGTCTCTGGATACACAGATGCCACCCCAATGGCAATCAGGTGGGGCTTTGGAAAGACAGAGCTGACAGTGAAGGTGACCCCAGGAAGTCTCTGGTCACATAGATACCACCTGAAGGACAAGCAGGTCTGGGGGGGGGGAGTTAAATAGAGAGCTGGCAGTCAAGGGAAGTCACTTCAGCACCTCTGGACATACAGATCACCCCCCAAACAGGAGCAGGTGGTGGAGGGGGTTGAAATGGAAAGCTGGCAGTAAAGTGAAGTTACTCCAGTAGCTCTGGAACATGTCCCCCAAGGCAAGCTGTGTATAGGGAAGCAGGCCGACAAACACAGATCAGACCCCAAGAAAAAGCAGGTAAGTACAGGGGTTTCAAATGAAAAGCAGTAAAGTAAGTGGACTGGGCATGAAAGGAAAGACAAACACAGTTCATCTCAAAACAAAAAGCAACCTAGTGTGTAGGGAGGGGATAAAATGGCAAAGAACTGCAACTCAAAGTGTGTGTGGGGGGAAATAAAATTAAAATAAAAGGGAAGGGAAACACCCAAAAAAGTTGACCCCAGCAAACTCCCACCAAACCAAAATGCTTGCTATGTGAAACAGGAATTCAATCCTGATTTTCCCACCCTTTGCACCAAACAAACAATCGGAAAACTAATCGGAACACGGGGGAACCCAAGGCAAAGCTAAGCAATGGGAAAGGAACTCTGTTACTGACAGGTTGCATTGCCTGTCAAGCTTTGAGTCTCCCTATTCATGTTTCCAAGGCTCCCTATTCATGTTTCCACCCTCACCGTTACCTAGCATTTTTGCACCAGACTTTGTGGATGGAGTTTGCTTTCCAAGCTGCTCCAAGCCATGCCCATTTTTTTCGGGAAACACATGGGCAGCAAACCTTGGCTCACAAGCCTCAAAATGGGCAAAGTTCAGTTCGGATTTTGGCTTGTCACCAGGTTCGTGCCCATCCCCTAATCCTTACACCTGTTTTAGATGTAAATGGGTGGACACATGTAGAAAAACATGGATTCTCCAACAAGCCTGTAATGTCCAGTTTCTCCCTGACTCATGCATATGTCAGATGAGTCAGACATTCTTCTCTATCCAAAAATGTTATATGTATATATATGCTCGTGCTAACAGAGTTGTGTGCCTGTGTGAATTAATCACTTCTAAAGTAACAGATTAAACAACTGGTGATGAGTGAGGGGGCAATGTTTAAATCAATAGTGGTGTCAATTAAATTACTTGTTTCTACACATATATCCTACCTACTCAAGCAATGAAACAGAAAGGGAAAAAATGAGGGCAAGATGCACCTCCAGGAATTTAGACAAATGCCAAAGTTCTTCCACGGTTCAATCTAGCTGACTCTTCAAATGTGCAGCGCTCTACTATTCCATCCATGTACATACAACAGCATATGGCTGAATTGCTAAAGAAAATAATTAATTTGACAAACAAAGCTGGCAAATGTATTTATGAAGAAGAGCACCTGTAGAGAATCCTTAATTTCCAAAGATGTCATCAGGAACTTAAGATGCCAGTAACATATCAAACTGAATCTTTTCTGATTACTGAGAAGACAGACATACTTGTTATATTTTGATTTAATATTCTTCAAGTTTGGATACAATCAATTCCATTTTATTCACAGACAGGTAAGACTGAAAGTTGGTTCACATATGCAAGTCCATTGCTTGACTTCTTGAGAACTGATTACTCATCCCCTCACTACAGCACATTAAATATGTGTATGCTAAGGTTGCCAGGCCCAGCCTTTGCACCAAACAAAGAAACAAAACCATTGGAAGACCATGTGGGGTAGGATGGGCTACCAGCAGTGATAATGAGAAACCACAGAAGTGATGTTATGTCTTTCTAGGAATTGCCAGAAACGCTAAGGTTTTACCATATGGTTTACCATACTATGGTTTTCAGCGATTCCTAGAGAGGACGGACAGCCCTCAGTTCCATAGGGTTTCAGGAGATTCCTAGAGAGGCACGCCGTCCCATACATTTTTTTCCTGGAAGTGATGTTATGTAGTCCCCATGGCAATTTGCTTTTATATTTTCTTTCTCCTGCTGGCCACTGGAGGGCACATGGCAATCCCACTGTGAACCATAGTCAAGAATGCAGACAGTGCCTTTAAACTACCACGTTCTCCAAATCAAGGGGCATTTATTACTTTAGTTTTTCTCTAATTATTTCCAGTCACACTCTGCATCCAAACTTGGTGGTAGCCAAGTTAGTAGATTACCAACAGGAATTGGGGGAGACGGAGCAGAAACATGGGGGTGTTGTTGTAACATTGGTGTGACATCACTTCTGGGGAAAACACGGAAGCTATGTCAGTATGCTCTAAGAATCGCTGAAAACTCCATGAAGTGACATGACACTGTTGGGACAAGGGCAAGGAATCCCCCACCCCAGGTGAGAACCTAACAAGCCTAGTAGGCGTGGATACCAGGACCTCCTCCAACGAACCATGCAGGCCATTTTTGTTTTGCTTTTTAACTACAATTAGACAGTTTTATGGCACACCACCAACTAAACCAGCCCTCCTATGCCCATGATGTGAACTGACTCCATTAAAAGCTTTATATTTCAGGCAATATAACATGATGTGAAGATTCACATCTGATGCTTTATGCTGAATCAGATCACTGGTCTATCGAGGTTAGTGTACTATCTACTCATACTGACAGTGGCTCTCCAGGGGTAAAGGTCTTTCACTATATCTGCTACTTAATCATTTTAACTGGAGATGCCAGGGATGGAATTTGGGACCTCCTGTCTGTGCTGAAGATCCATTCACACATGCAAGTCTGAACCAGCTCTTCAAGACTGTTATTTTTTTCAAAATTATAAAACAAGTCAAAAGTGGTACTAGTATTTAAAGACATATCTCCACCCTCGACACTGACTCCTATTGCTTCTCTGCTTTGTTCTAATGAAGTCCATTCACACAGAAGCCAATTTGTTTTAGAAAACATTTTTAAAAATTCAGCAATTCTCTAAAATTTTATCCATTAAACTGTTTGCATCCATCTTTTATTTGCCTACAGGGTTTCTCACACTAAGACTAGGACAGACAGACTTAGTTTTGCTAACTTGTGAATTATTGTGACCTCACTACAAAAACAAATGGAGAAAACACAAGAACAGTAACGGAGAAATCATTTTGGACTAACAGAAAGCTTATCATCAGACCTTTGCTGCTTTTCGCTCTTCTGAGTGATAGTGACTTTATCAGGAACAAACATTTTCCAAAATTGCTTCCCATGAGGGCTTATCAAATTAACCATGTGCTAAAACCACCAATGCACCGTATGTCTAATTGCTAATTCTTTTTAATAGATAAAAACATACTCTTAACTAAGCCATTAGGACTGTGATATCAAAAAAGGCAAAATTCCTTACCTACAACCTGGATGATTTCAGCCAGTAAAACTCCATCAGTCACATCTTGCTGTAGGTCCTTTATCAAACGCTTATGGCCAGATTTTGCTAGGTAGTGATTGGCCCAGTCTGTATAAATCTGTTTAAGAAATGGGAAATAAACAGGAGATAAGTTCTCATTGTACTTTCCTTTTTTAAACCATAACTTTCTTGCTTAAACTTGTTAAAATGACCACCAAAGTTTACAATCCCTGAAACAGACTGCCCCTCTTTTTTTTTTTTTTGGTTTCAAACAAAGTTAGCAACATTAAAATTCAAGGCATTGTGCCGATGAAGTATTCAGCTTATTATAGCCGGCCTTTCTTGTATAGAGCAAATTTGACATCAGAGCTGAAGAAAACTAAAGAAAGCTTCTAAACATGCTACAGCCTGAATGGGCCATCAGACATGGAACTAAACAGTCTGCAACGGAGACTGGGCTGAATTTTTCTATTTATACTGAAGAATTCAACATTTCCCCTTCATTCCTGTACTGAGAGCCCCTAAAGGACATTTTTGGAGGGTATATGTCTTTTTTTCTTTTTCTTTTTTTAAAGTATAGCCTTCTTCTTTTTTTACATGGAGTTTTTTAAAATTAGTAATTCTTCATGAGTGTAATTAGCTAGGTATATTTGAATAGGCAAATTTCTTTAGAATGTAGGGGGGAAATTTGCATTATATTGTCATTCACTTTGTGAGTGTCACATTTGACTTACCACATGCTGCTAACAACTGTTCTACAATGGATATCCAAAATTAGATTTGTGAAACATATATGCCTTTCATCCAAAAATATCCTGACATACAAATGCCTACCAAGAATTTTTCTGCTGTTGAATCTAATATTATTCTGGGGGGGTTTAAATCTAGCATTAAGAATGCAATCCACAAACTGTGTGACATCACACAAACTACAAAGTTTCCTCTATGATAAATCCATACTAAAGCTTTGGTTTTAGAATACGTATATCAAAGTTATATTCTTTTTCAGGGTTGCTGAAAGTATTAAAGTCATAGATGCTGTTTCCATAATTTTTCTAAAATAATTGGCAGAAGCAAAAAAAAGTGTTCTGGCTGCTCTTTAAGAGTGTTTTCAACAGGGTATATGTGTGTTTTCTATTTTTAAAAGATATTGATTATTCCAGGGGAACCAACTTTTTGCTAAACAGAGATCATTCTTCTAAATTGATTTTTCATTATTTTTATATGAGAATTATATATTATAATCTGGGGTAAAATAAATCCTTTGGAATGAAATCTGGGTAGACTCTGAAAAAACGGGGAAATACAGAAGTTTATTGAAAGTCATCGGTCTTGCCTCTCCTAAGAAAGAACTAGATGTCTGGTTGGCTGGCTGATTTTATAGGGCTATCAACACTGGATCGGGCAATTCCTGGAGATTTGGGTGTGGAGTGGGCAGAGGGCAGAGTTTTTGGAGGGGAGAGAGCTCAGATGGAATGAGATGTCATACAACCCACCCTCCAACGCAGCCATTTTCTCCAGGGGAATTTATTTCTGTAGGTTGTCAACCCAATTCATTGCACCCCTTAGATTTTATTTAATCTTGCTGAAGATTCTCAGGATACAATTTTAAGTGTAGTAATTTAGGAGTAGATTCTATTGAGAGCCATGGAATTTACTTCAATGAAAATATGCATAAGAATGGGCTACCAGTGCTTTATTCCCTCAGCTCTACTTCTTTCAACATAATTTCAGTCAGTGCAACCGTTCGGATATTGCACTGTCGTTATCTAAGATGCTATCTTAAATTTACATACTAACCACAGATGCCCATTTGGTTTATTTGTTTCTATCCACATTAATTTCATTTATGAATATGGTGTTCTGGATCTTAACAAAATGCCATCTGCAGTTTGAAAACAAACAGACTGTGCAAGGTTTCCCACTAAATAAGCCTGTGAACTAACAACATTTCTTGCAAAGATACTGTCGATGAAGAGAATAACTCATTGTGTGAATGTGAGAAAGCCAAACAGATTCATGGTTAAACCCTGAAAATTATAAAAGCATTTCTCAATATTTACATTTGTATCTATCTGAATAAACAATGCACACATACATTGTTTGGTGTAGCCAGTTTGGTGTAGTGGTTAAGTGTGCGGACTCTAATCTGGGAGAACCGGGTTTGATTCCCCACTCCTCCACTTGCACCTGCTGATGTGACCGTGGGTCAGTCACAAGCTCTGGCACAGCTGTCCTTGAAAAAGAGCAGTTTGTGTCAGAGTTCTCTCAGCCCCACCTACCTCACAGGGTGTCTGTTGTGGGGAGGGGAAGGGAAAGGAGTTTGTAAGCCGCTCTGAGACTCCAAGTGAAGGGTGGGGTATAAATCCAATCTCTTCTTCTTCTTCTTCTTCTTCTTCTTAATATTTGCCTGGTTAGGTTAAAATCCAGGACTACAAATATGCATCATTAGATCAAGTGTGGTGTAGTGGTTAAGGGTGCTGAACTAGTATCTGGGAGACCTGGGTACAAATCCCCACTTACAGTCACACTCTGTCAGCCTAGCCTACCTCATAGGGTTGTTATGAAAATAAAATGGAAGCAAGGAGAATGATGTAAGCTGCTTTGGGTCCCCATGGGGGAGAAAGGTAGGGAGTAAAAATTAATTAATTAAATAATAATGTTAAATGTAACTGACTAATCCAACAGAATACTGATCCACCACCTCGCTGACACTGGAGTCCAGGGGCCTGCCTTGCAACTGCTGGCTTCCTTCCTTCAGGGTCGGGGACAAAGAGTGGTCTTAGGGCAGCAGCTATTCTAAAGGCACCCACTGATTTGTGGAATGCCCCAAGGGACAGTGCTGACCCCAATGTTATTGAACATCTACATGCACCCCCTTGCCCAGATTGCCTGGAGGCATGGGCTGAGATGTCACCAATACGTGGATGACACCCAACTCTATCTGTTGGTGGGCGGCCAGTCTGACTCTACACTGGAAGATCTGGACCGGGTGTTTCAAGCTGTGGCTGGTTGGCTCAGACTGAGCCAACTGAAATTGAACCCGACGAATACAGAGGTCCTGTACCTGAGCTGGGACGGCCCAAGGTTAGGGATCCTACTTCCGATCTTTCATGACGCGCCACTGGTGACAGTGCCAGAAGTTAAGAGCTTGGGAATGCTCCTGGATGCCTCACTAACAATGGAGGCCCAAGTAGCTGCCACTGCCAAATCAGCCTTTTACCACCTCTGGCTGATTAGGAAGTTGGTTCCCTTCCTCAAATGCAACGACTTGGCAACAGTGATCCATGCGTTGGTCACCTCGAGATTGGACTACTGTAATGCTCTCTACATGGGGCTGCCCTTGATCCAAACCCAGAAGCTAGATAGGCCTGCCTATGCGGGAGCACATCCAGCCGGTTCTAAAAGCACTGCACTGGCTGCTGATAGCATACCAAATTTGCTTCAAGGTGCTGGTACTTACCTTTAAAGCCCTTTATGGTCAGGGGCCCACATACCTGAGGGAACGACTTTCCCCACACATTCCCCAGAGAGCACTGCGCTCAGGGTCACAAAACTGATTGGCCTCCCAGGTCCTAAAGATGCCAGGCTGGCCACAACCAGGGCCAGGGCCTTTTCAGTGGTGGCTCTGTACTGGCGGAATGAGCTCCCTGAAGAGATCAGGGCCCTTGGGACCTTTTACAGTTCCGCAGGGCCTGCGAGATGGAGCTCTTCCACCAGGCCTTTGACTAAGGAGCCGCACCAAGTAACATCAGATAACTGAGAAGTGACAGTGCCCTGGTCCTTGGGCAGGACCACCAACAGCCTGTGCCGTTGCCTAAATATAGAGACCAACCACCAATATAGATCATCTGATTATAACACTAGTATTGGTTCTGCCTTCTGCAAGCATTGTACCTGATCGCCTACTAGCACTTTATGATAATGTAGAGTTTTATTATTTGTTTTAAGATCAGATTTAACATCTGACTGTTTATGATAATGTAGAGTTTTATTATTTGTTTTAAGATTGTATATAATTTGTTACCTATATGTTTAATCTCTTTGTAAGCTGCCCTGAGCCCGCTCTAGCGGGGAGGATGGGGTATACATCAAATAAATAAACAAACTAATAAATAAAGTTATTCACAAACTCTTTTGTATCTCAAAAGTTTTCTGCACTGCATCCACAAGCATTTTCCCCTTGTCCTCTTCTTCCATTGCTTTCTTAATTCCTTCTAGCATGAGCTGTGCTATATTGAATCTCACAATATCTATCACCTCTATTTTCATTGTCTCATGTTTTAAGGGGTTAATTATGTTTCTATACTTTGTGGAAGATTTCACCAAATCACTTTTACTCTTAGGAAAATGGAAAAACACAAACTGCATTCACAAAAATCAAAGAAATACTGACTTTAGTGACCAATTTTTTAAAAAACTGACAAATTACTGACCAAGATGAAAAAAACTGACTTTTACTGATTTTACTGACCATTTTCCACCCCAGGGCCAGCTCTGCTTAGCTTCTGAGATCTGATGAGATCAGGCTAACCTGGGCTATCCAGTTCAGGGCCTGATCTTCAGCGCGGGGGATCGCAGTTCCCCCGGGTGAGGTACGGGGGGCGGGGCACATGACGAAGCCCCGCCCCTGCTTCTGGCCGCCCCGCTTCCAGCCCTCATTTAGCCAGGAGGAGGCAGGAGAAGAGGGAGGGTAAGTTGCTTCCTCCCTGCCTCTCCCCACCCCTGCCTGCCTGGGGCCAGGGAGGGCCTTCGCGGGGCTTCCTTGCACTCCCACCAGCCTTGGAGGTCCACCGCTGGGCCCCTCATGGGGCTTGGCAGTGGAGCTGCAAGGCCGGCACCGGCGGCCGGGACCGTTGGGGGCGGGGTGTGTGGCCTTATGACACACTTCCAGTGATGTCAGGGGGTGTGGCATATGCTAATGAGTTATGCTAATGAGTTCCCCTAGATCTTTTTCTACGAAATGACCCCTGATCTTCAGACATTAATAATCTTGTGCTATATTATTACACAGGAAGAATTCAGTTGGAAAGCTGTGCCCCCCCCAAGTAATGAACTGGATGCATGAAGCAGGATGAATGCTTTTTAGCAGGTCATTTAATTCTGCAACAATTTCCATAAGTTAAATTGCAAATAGCTTCACATCTTTCTCTGGTTGCATTACTTGAATATGATTCTGTGGGTCTCTAATTCTTTAGTACAGGAGAAAACAGCAGATTACCTAACTGTGGCAAAATATTTCTATTAATGGCACATGTACACGCACCCTTACACACATTTACATGGCTGATAAAATTGCAAGAAACACAGGTTGTCCTGGAGGTTGTGACTGGCCTCCTCAGCTTTGTCCAGATTTGCGAGACTGGGCATTTCAGCAGTCCACTTTAGCAGAATTTTTTGAAAATATGGTAGTTTACAACATAATGTGATTCCCAATGTTGCCTTCTCATCTAACGAACAGGTCAACATCACAGAGCAATTAACTATTTCAAGTGGTTAAATAGATCAATGGACAGAATTAAGAAAGTTCCATTAGGGTTGTTGCCAGAATGAAAAACTAAAAAAACCAAAACGAAATTAGAACACTTCAGTGAATTCATGTTTGAATATTGACAGGACATAAGGAGAACGTTTCTTGCAACTACATTTGCAAGCAAAAATTTACAAAAAAAAAATCAAACCTTTGGTCCACCTGGCCCCCATACCTGAGGCTTAAGCAGGTCTTTCCCAGCCCTGACAGCTAAGATCCTTATAAAGATTAACTCTCTTTTTTGCAATATGGGTGGTCTTCCCCCAACCACGTAGAAAGACAGGGTGGATGATGAGGTACCAGCAAAAACAGCAAAGGGACCCACCCTTCCTCCCCAATATGCCTTCCAACCCAAGTACAATTCTCTTCAGCCAAGTTTCAATATTAGAAATTATCTTAGCTGGGCAACAAATGTTTGAGGAAAGGCAGTGTGGTGAGCTAAGCTGCAAGCACTACTAATTTCTGCATTAAAAACCCGCAGCCTCTTTTGATGTGATAACTGCTGTCATGTCTGGTTTGGCCCTGAGCTGAGCTGTGGTCTTTTCTCTCCTTTGGATCAAAACATTTCAATAATATCGGTAATAAACATGTATCTGGGTTCTGAAAAACTGCTTTCAAGTCACAACCATAGTCTCTTTTATATATGAAGAGAAAGTTCTATATGAAAAAAGATTTATGCACATCACTTTCCTACTCTAGATTTGAAATAGGGGTGTGACAGGTCAATATTGTTTTTGCAAATATACTCCCAACGTTTTTCAGTTCACTGCTGAAATACATAACATGGAATCATCATGGCTTTGACAGCTGACCTCATAAAGTCAATATAAACAGGACACTGCCTGTAGGAAAACAAGAGTAAGACCTGAAGGAACAACTATATTCTAAAATTTTAAAGCTTAAAAACACAAGTAGTGGGAAAACATGTGAATATGCCTATCAAAAGTACAGTCTTGTCAAAAAATCTGTACTGTTACACACCCACAGCAGTGAACTGGTTATGACAACTGAACTGTATTTATCCAGAGCAGACAAAGAAAGGGCTTTTCTATCATGTGTAAAAAAGTTCCCATGGAAATTCTGTTAAACCCAGATTTATTCACCCCGTGTTCCGTCAATCAGACAAACTCATTAATCAAAAATTGAGCTAAACTTCATTTTTGAAAAGCTTAAGAGAACAACTTGATTAATGAGCAAGAAGACCCTTCAAGAACATTTGTCGTACTTGGTGGGGCCTGGAGAAGGGAAGGGAAGTCCTATCAGACAGTGGTTTCAGAAAATTTCCATCTGGATATTACCTATACACATATATGATAGCAGTCAATAATCCTTCAGAGTACTATTATTTAAAGTCTTTAACATCTACTATTGCAGATCAGCATAGTTAACATAGGTTAAATCTATGTAAGATGGGTTTTTGCATATGTTCTAAGATTTATCATGTTTGATTTGTGCACTATGGTCATTGGACTGGAACTGAAGACTGCAGATATATATCCATATTAATGTATCTGTGGATACTTAAAACTGGAGACTGGGGCTATGGACAGACGAGACAGTTGTTGTTGTTCAGTCGCACAGTCGAGTCCGACTCTTCGCAACCCCATGGACCAGATCACGCCAGGCCTTCCAGTCTTCCGCCGTCCTCTGAAGTTGGCTCAATTTCATGTTCGTTGCATCGATGACCCTGTCTAACCATCTCATCCTTTGCCATCCCCATCTTCTTTGACCTTCAATCTTTCCCAGCATCAGGGTCTTCTCCAGTGAGTGCTCCCTTCTCATTTGGTGGCCAAAGTATTTGAGCTTCAGTTTCATTATCTGGCCTTCCAGGGAACAGTCAGGGTTGATTTCTTTTAGGATTGACTGATTTGATCTTCTTGCAGTCCAAGGGACTCTCAAGAGTCTTCTCCAGCACCATAGTTCAAAAGAATCTATTCTTCAGCGCTCGGACAAGACAGATCTTTCTACAAACACACGAGAAAAGCTCCAGGTTTGCAGAAAAATGGAAATCTTAAAATAAAACAACTTAATGACAGAAGTAGTTTCTGAAGCTTTGAGAAACAAATTCCCCCAGTGGCTGTTGCTAGGCAAGCACAACAGTATTGCCAAGCCTTTCAGCCTTGGATTCTTTCAGCAAAAGAAAGGGGATGAGCTTTTCCAGCATTGTTTTGGTCACTAGGGCCAGGCCTAGCAGCAACCAGTGGGCAACTTGCTACCACACAACTTCCATTATGCATCTAGTCTTGGCTGCTTCGTACTGTTCAACAGTGACTGGAGTTTCAGATTAGGACCTGGGAAACCCCACACTGCCATGGAAGCTCATTGGGCCACTCACACACTCTCAGTCTAACCTATTTCATGGGGTTGTTATAAAGATAGAGGAGAATTATGAAAGTAAATAAACAATAACTAACTGAAGGGGGGGCAGATAAAAGGTACGTAGATTGGTAGTGGGAAGGAGAGAAGGAAGGAAGTATAGGGGAGGATATGGGTGCTGCCAGGAGAAGGGAGAGAGGAAACATTGTTGGGGGAGTTACAGGGGAAATTAAGGTACCTCTCACAAGTCCCTACTGGTTCCCCACTGGCAACTGAGCTGAACTCAACCTTCACCATGCTACTGGGTGCAGCCTAGTCCAATGACTAGCACCACACAACTTGGTCAGAGCTTTCTCAGGGGAAGGCTGCCAGGAGGAAGGAAGGATGGAGAGGTGAAGACAAGCAGGGAGAAAAGGTAGGTTGGGTGGTGTGTCAAAAAGAACCAGAAGGAAAAAGGAAAGGGGGAGAGTCTATGGGGTCTGCCAGGGAAAGGAATGCGGAAATAGTGGGGGAGAGGAAAATGATATGCCTCCAGCAAGTTCTTGCAGGCCCCCCACTAGTTACAGCACAATTTAATCTTCTGCCTATCCGTTTCTGGCTTTCTGCCCTGACCTGGATAGCCCAGGCAAGCCCGATCTCATCAGATCTCAGAAGCTAAGCAGGGTCGACTCTGGCAAATACTTGGATGGGAGACCTCCTTGAAATTCCAGAGGTGGGAGGCAGAGGTAGGCTTTATTCAGCCACCTCTCTGAATATCCTCCAGGCCCTCGGTAGGGATCAGTCAACAGAGGTTGCCATGACTCCCACGGACACATGAACACTCACACACACACATATAAAAATACAAAAAAAACCCCAACCTTTCTGTTTTTCTGATAATGTTTCTTGGCTTTCATTGTGGTTGTTTTTTTGTTTTTTGTCTTTTCTGATTGCCCTCAATTAGTGGGTTACCAGTTTCTCACTTTCTTGTAGATTACTGACATTGGGTAAAGTCACATTTGTCATTGCTTAGGTTTAGACAGGTGGGCTCCCAACAAACCAATTGCAATGCGACATGAGCTTGCCTCAGTTCCAAAGTACTCCTATTCCTCTGTAATTTGATTGGTGGGGTGGGTGGGCATCTCATTAAACAGACACTCTGGGGAGGACTACTTTTAGTTGCAGTTATTAACTTTGTCTAAAAAAAAAGTGCTTCAGAAGACTGGCAGCCATCTTCACACCTTCTTTCCATTATGCAGAAATTACGGCTGGCAGCATCTTATTCAAAGGACTGTACAATTGGATCCATCCGTCCAATTCACTTGAAACGTATGTTTTATTGTTCTTCTTGTTTATTTTTCACGTTTACTTTTCTTGTATTTCAGTTGAACTTTAAGTAATTTAGGGGCATCTTCACCTTTTTCAGAGTCCAAAACCTCAGAGGTATTACCAGAACTGCTTGAGGTGTCTTCTGATTCACATTTGCTTTTCTCTTCTTCTTGGATACTGTCCTTATTTTTCTTTTCATCTTTCATTGGGCTTTGTTGTTGTTCCAAAAAGCCTTTCGCTTTCTGGGCAGAGTCAATCCTGATCTTCTTATCATTATAATTAAAAAGAAGTCCTTCTGGAAATATCCATCTATAGGGGGTTGAGTTATTTTGTAGGAAGGAAGTTAAGTCTTTGCATTGCCGTCTTCATTTTCGCACCTCAAATGGAATATCTTTTAAGATTCTCATTTCTTGGTCTTTCAGGGTTTTCCCAGATGTTGCTTTCAAGACTGCGTCTCTAGTAGATCTTTTGGAAAATTTAACAAATATTTCACCAGGTAGCTTGTTTTTCTTAATGAAGTCCGAGTAAGTTTGATAGGCCAAGTCCATATCATTTTGTAATAAATCCTGTTTAAGCTCCATCACTGCTGCTAATGCTTGACTTAATAGTTCTTTTAAATTTTCCCCTTTCTGCTCTGGGATACCCTGGAAGCATAGGACATAGATTGATCTCTCCATTTGTAGTTGCAACAATTGTCCTTTATCAGAAATTCGCTCTTTTTCCACTTCTTCCAGCTTCTGTTTAATATCTTTTGTTTTTGCCTCCACTTTCTTAAGTGCTATATCAGTCTTATCCGCTCTTTTGTCAATTCCCATCAGTTGCTTTTGAACACCATCGAGTTTGTTGTTGATGTTAGACATCTTCTCCAGTAGAGGGCACAGTGCTGTCGCAAGCATGTTGGAGAAATCAGTAGCTGTTTCCGGCATTCGGGTAGGAGTTGTTGGTTAGGTCGTTCCTGTTGGAGATTTCTTCTCCGGTGCCATTCTTCTTCTTCTACTGGTCATTGTTTACACAAGAAAAAAGATTTTTAGTTTAAAGTAAAAGTTCTTCGATTTACATGCGCTTTGGACTATTTTGCACCTTCCAGTTTTGTTTACAGTCTCTCTCGGTCAGTATTGTGTTTTTTTTCTCTCGACTTGTCGCTTGGGGACCATTAAGTTTCATGGGAGGGGAATCCCCAACTCTTCCCCTCCCACTATTTCGCCTCGTAGATAGTTCTGTTTGTTTTAACTCGGCTCAGCTGCTTACAGTTTATCGCTTTTGAAGTATAGTAAGAAAGTGTTTATGCTTGATCTCTTGCCCGCTCCATCCGGCAGTCAGCTCTAGACGCCATAATGGCTTTGCGGTGGCAGGACCTCTCACGGTAAGGGAAGCCTCAATTCCTTGGCCATCACCTTGGAAAAAGCACCCCTCTGCACCCCAGGCAGAGAGCCCCCTGCAAGGGCTCCAGGGAGGCTTGGAAGATTAGCGTTAATGGCTCAAGTCAGCTTTATTAAGGAAGTAAGATACTGATCACAGGCTTATATTTTACTATAAGGTTTTGTAAGAACGACAGACAATACTGTAACTTTTGAAATATGATCTTTGCCTTAGTTTAGCTTCTTTTTTAGTATTAGTGATCCATTCCCCTTCCCTGTAATTGTGTAGTGTATAAAAGCAATAAAAATTATATAAAAAACAAAACAAAACAATTCACTTGAAACTTGGGGCATCTCTACAACAGAGGGTGGACTAGGTTCCTTGATATTTTAATGCCATTGGTGAAAAAAGTCCCCATGTGGAAAACAATGGGCAGACATCTGATCATAATGAAAATGGAATGGAACCCAACATCTTCAAGATATGACAATAACATTTCCAAGAATTCTTAAAACTGAAACACAGAGAGTACTCCATTTTTCCATGTTATATCTCTGAGGATGCCAGTCACAGCTGCTGGTGAAACGTCAGGTACTACAACAGCTAATGAACTCCGGCTGTGAAAGCCTTCGACAATATAGTGAAACACCTTATCTTTCTAAAATTGTGGTACTGAATTAAAATAATATTTTTCTAGTGCACACCCTGGTGTACACTTAGCTGCTTAACCATGATGTTGACACAAACTAAATTTAAGCCATCATTCCTGGGCTAGGCAGGAACCCTGGTTATGCCTAACTACAGTTAGCACTGGTGCTAATTTAATGGTTAGCCATAGTTAGATTTGGCAGGAAGAAATCGCTCCTGAAGTGAGTAAGGGCAGGCAAAGAGTATGCCTGGCTTAGTCCCAAATGCTTAATCATAGTTAAGCAATTCTGAGCATTATATCTGCCCCTTATAGTGCTTTAGGGGACACAGTTTCATCAATAGAGAAATATAACTACAAGCCATCGTGGTTAAAAGGAACCTCCACATTCAGAGGCAGTAAACTTCTGAATCCCAGTGCCACAAGGCAACATCAGGGAAGGCCTCATCAGCCTCTATGCCTTGTTGTTGGACCTCCAGAAGAACTGGTTGGCCACTGTATGAGACAGGATGCTGGATTAGATTGAACACTAGTCTTATTCAGAAGGGCTTTTCTTCAGTTCTTAAGAAGTACAGAGAGTGAATAAAGTAATCCAGCGGTATAACTAATTGGAGAATGACTACATTAAAAATAAAGAGGGATGAAGGTGGTAAAGATCAGAATAAATAAATACACGCAGAACAAAGGTGCTCTAAAATATCCAAGTGCCTCATTTCTTTTTAGTCCTTACTAGTTACTAACAAAGTAGTCATTTGTTGCTGTGCCCTCTGAACATTTTCTTTTGAAGACATATGTATGAATCAGTCTCTCATGAGTATGACTCAAGGGGACACTACTGTAACAGCTGGACACTATCTTTTTGACAGCAAATACCACAATTAGTACTGACCAAAGAGTATGTGTGCACGTTCCTTTTTGGCTTGGAGAGTTAGTCACAGCAAAAAAGGCCCACAAAAAAGCATGCCAGGCCTTTCCTAATGCCATCTAAAACTACATGGGACTACGGAGACCAATGCTACACTTAAAATTACAATCAGTACACCAAAGTGAAACTCACTGCAGTGTAGAGTTACAAGGTCTTACTGGTCTTCCAGTGGGGAGCTCCCAGGTCTAGCAACCGTACTGCAATGTTCACATTTATTGTTAACAAGTGGAGACCCGCAACAAAATGTTGCGTACTGTGTTCAAGTTTAGCTCAGTTTTCCCTTTCCCCTTTATCCGGAGGTTGTGAGTTCGAATTTCGCCATAGGTTATGAGGTGGAGGAGAATGGTTGCTCTGACGGGCTGGGGAAGCGGTTGGTAAGGAGTTGTGAGTGGAGTTTATGTCAAAATACGTGTGCATAGGGTACAATCCAAGGAAAGTGTATGAGCTCTTACGGAAACAGGCCCATGTGTTATTTCTGTATGGTTGTGAAATGCAAGCTGTATTTGTCTGTCAGAAGAAAACCACAGAGATCCCTCGCTGCTCTCACTCCCTCCCCCCCCCGGCCCTGAAGGAAGGAGCAGGTAAGTTCCCCCCCCCCATCCTGCTGGTTCCTTCGTCTTCTCCACCACCCCGGGTGAGGGAAACTATGAACATGGGGTGCAATCCTGACATGTTCAGAAGTTAACATGTAACCCATAGTTATGTGGAATAAAATCCCATTATTTTCAGTGAGATTTACTTCCAGGTAGGTGTGCCTAGGATTATAGCATATACCTCATGCACAGGAAAATTTATACAGCATACAGATTTTGCAGAAACCTAGCCCATACACAGGTCACCTGCAGTGAACATAACTCCATATCCTCTGAACAATTTGCACACTAATTTGGAACTCCAATGCTAGGATATGGAGGGGAAATATGCTGTTTTGTAATCTCTCACAGAAAATTCCCATGACTGGATTAAATCTACGAAAAGAACTCCCATGACTTAATTGACAATGACATGCCGATGCTGCTAGCTCCTTCAGATTCAATTATTTTTGCCAATCTGGGGCACCGGGTGGGGGGGGTTGCCGGGCAGGGAGCCCTCGGTGGAGGCCGACGGCGTGGAGAACATCCTGCAGCCAAGGGGAGCTGGGGGAGGCAGCCAGCGGGAGCTACCAGTGCAGCTGTCCTGCAGCCCCCGGGCGCTCTCCGGGCTGAGCGTCTTCACCTTGGTGATGACGAGCAAGTCCGGCGAGGCGGCCTCGCTCTTGATGATGACCTTCTTCTCCGGGGGGCGGCATTGGCGTGGGCCGCGGGCGCCACCTTGGCAACCTCGGGTGCCTTGCCGGCCGGCTTCTTGAGGATCCGCTCGCGGAGGGCCTCGTCCTTCTCCCCCCTCGCTTCTCTCTCTCCTTCCTCGCCCTCTTGCCCCCCTCCCAGCTCGCCGCTCGCCTTGCAGCTCCAAGCGGTGGCGGCAGTAGTCGCAGAGCATCCCCTGCGCATGTGCAGGGGACGCTCTGTAAGTTTCGGGGGGATTTAAACATCCCCCTGATTTCCCCCCCAACATTTAGGATTTTTGTGCACATGTGGGGACTGCCCCACGTGTGCACAAACCTCTCCCTCCCTCCCAGGTGGCCCCAGGAGTGCGGATTTAGATATCCGCACAGACGGGGCCACTTCACTATTAGATATATAGATTACAAGCAATGCACAATCCCACAGAGTACAAAATAGAACCATAGTCAAAACCAAGTTTTCCTAGAGGGCCATTTTCAAAGGGAGAAGTAGGGTTGTCATCTTTTAAATTGATCCCTCTAGTTGTCTCTTTAATACCAGTTTGAACTGCAGCAACCTATCAGGTGGTGATATTTAACTTCATGCCATGAAAAGCTTCAGCTGCCCATTTCTACTCATTAAACCTCTATTAAAGAGACCTGATACATCCCCCCTCTCCAGTTGGCTACCTGACATATACATTGAGCTGCCTGGATTTGGGACACTGGGAAGAAGAAGAAGAAGAAGAAGAAGAAGAAGAGCAAATATTTTGTACCTGGGTTCCAATCATATGGGAATTAATTAAAACCAAACCCACATAAAACCATTCTTTAATAAAGCGGTCATTTCGTAGAAAAAGAAGTGCAGGAGCTCATTAGCATAACTCATTAGCATAACTTATTTGCATATGCCACCCCCCTGACATCACTGGAAGTGTGTCAGAAGGCAACACCCACCGCTCAGGCTCCACTGGACTGTTTTGGATTGCTAGCTAT